TACCCCCTCTCCGTGTACTTGCCCAGAAGCCATCTTTGGCTGCCACGTGAGTTGGATGCACCTAGAGAATTAAGTGAGCAAGCTGATTGGCAAAATGTCTTTCCCCGTAGAGAAAGGTGTTCCCTTACTGCCCCCAAAGAGGAGGAGGCAGGGATATCCACATTTATGGCATCACAAGATCTCTTGTGTAATTCATAACTTTATTGAAGTTGACACAAAAACCTTTTTATCTTTTTAAAAAACTTTTTTTAAAAAACCTGTTGAAGTTTCATTTGCCAAAACTAAACAATGACGATTTTTAAATGTTTGATTTTTATTCATAGAGCACATTCTACCATCTGACTGATTTAAAGAGAGATTAGGATGAAAAGGTTAAGGACTGTAGGGGGTATGTAAACATGGCTAACAGAGGGGCCTGTTAGAAGGAGGGAAGAGATGGGGCAGAGAAACAAACAAACAAACAAACAAAATAGATAGCACGGCTATGCCTAAAGTCCTTCTGGGAAAAAAAAATGATAAAAACAATGTCTTTGTGCCTACAACACAGCATGAAGTCAATGGCAATCTGAAATTCTGCAAAGGATGACTTAGTTTAATATTTTCATTTTCCTTGCAAGAATTACATATGGCATATGCAAATATTCACTAGAAAAAATATGTAAACACACATACAAGCCACTGCATTTGTGCATGTTCCTGAGTGCATGTGCACATCTTTAAAGAACACAGACATACGGGAATTGTCATCTGACTGATTAGCTGAGCTGGGTCTCTTCCTGCCCCGCTCACACCAAGGCCAAACTAGAGTTTATGATTTCAAATCTCGGTAAAACGTAGCAGATATTAGCTGTGGCTACCTTTCCATTTCTTTCCACTAAGAAGAGATGACAGATTATTTTGTAGACATCTAGTCATATTAGCTGTGGCTACCTTTCCATTTCTTTCCACTAAGAAGAGATGACAGATTATTTTGTAGGCATCTAGTCCTCTCTCTCTCTCTCTCTCTTTCGTTCAGCTGAGGAGAAAATAAGGCATAAAATAAACCTGCCCAAAGCCTGGAGCAATCTTTGCCTAATTTAATGAGCAACTAACTAATCCAAAAGGAGAATATCCATTACTTATACAGCCATAATGTAGACACAACATGGCATGTAAATCAGTAACTCTTGTATTGCAAAACAGACAAATAGATTAATGCATGTTGCAAAGGATGGGTGAAGAGATCGATTAGGTTACTGATTCAGACCATGAACTTTCTCTCAATATACTGCATTTAACTTTTAAATAAGGTTTAGGAGAACCTGTAACATTTTGCTCACTGACAGAGCTATATTTTACTAAGGGCTGAAATTGGCTAGTCTATAAAAATTAAATTATGCCCCTTTCACTGTATCTAGTCAAGAGGAAAAACTCTAATTACAAGATTGCACTGTCAAACAAATGCAAATTCACATTTTTTATATCCTGGTTTAAAAATTCATACTGGAAGGGGGAGGCTTCTATTCTGAAATGAAAATCAATATTTGAAATATTTTGCGGAATGCAATGATATACAAGAGCAAAAGAAGTGTTATTATCAAGGATGCTGATAAATAGACACTAACCCATTACATGCAAAGCTGGTAAGAACAAGTCATTAGTTATTCAAACATTTAAATATCAATTAGTAAGGATAATGAAAGAAGCTGAACCAAGCCTCCCTTACCCTTGGGCCTTATTATTATTCCAGAAATGACCAAGGGGAAAAGGGGGTATAAAAAATAATATCGGTACCTAATAGGAATATCACTCTGGGGACTAGGTAAAGGTTGATTTTAAATGTAATTCCCAATTGAAAATTAAATGCACCTGCCTCAAAATTCCTAAGAGCTGAGTTTGCAGACTTAATCCAGAAAGGACTCACTGAAGGCCTGGCCATATTGCATCGCTGGTTTGGGGAAAAAGAGTGCCTTTCATTACTGCTTAATGTCACATAGGCTTTGTTCATTAAAATTTCTTAGTCCACCTTAAAGCTCTGGTTTAAAATAAAAAGTCCTGATTTTTCTATGCCAATCCACACAGCCACTTAGATTTCAAAAGCCATACTTCATAGCTTTTCAACATTCACTTTGCTATTTGTTTGCTCAGCCTGCCTGGTGAACTCGAAGGACATGAAAAACTAACTCCTTAGAGCTTTGCCTGAAGTATTTTTTTCAAGCCAACTTGGTGTTGTATTTTAGTGCTCTACGAGAGGCTGGTGGGTGATATTAAAACACAGGTGTGGAGTGACAGAGCAGGGTTCCAAATGCTTCTTAGTAAACAGTTGGCTGACAGACTTGGACCAGACATCTAATTTTTGTAGGTTTTGTTTTGTTAATGTATTATTCAAAAAAAGTTTGTCCGGAGCAGCAATTCTTACCGTGGAGCACCCTAGAACATATGAAGGGCTCATAAAAGACCCATGACCAAATACTCCAGAAACTTATGATCTTCATGGGGGTTGGCAAGTCACATGGACTAGAACAAGACACCAGAAAGATGCCAATAACACCCTTCACTAAGAATCTGTGGGTCCTTTCAGCTCTACTGTGCAAAGATTCTCAGTACAACATATATTAAGTTAGCTCTTACTTGGACTCCTAATGGTGTCATATAGTACACATTACTTTCTTTTTCCAGAGTGTAGAACTTGACCCAAGCAATAAATGCTGAGTGGTTGTGGCATGGGGAAACAGTCCTCGAAAGAGAATTACCAGATTTCATGATACTACATGTAAAACGCTAGGAAAGAGCCAGATACCCAGGGCACACACTAAAATTAGCTCGTATTACTGCAATGGTCATACTACATTGTACCATTTCAAAGTCCATTTTAGGTTTGCTTTCCATGCTATTGGCAAAAACCTGATTTTTAACAATTACACCATCCTAACCCTGGGAGTACCTTGGAATTATGAGACTTCAGATATTGCTCTTTGGTGCAGAGAGAAAGGCATTTGGCTATTTTCTTCTGAATTTAGGCTGAGTCCCTCGCACATTCCTAAACCTGTCATCCTTCCCCTCTAAATTGATTTTTCCTTTGCATTCCTCAACTGCTTCATTTTTCAAACATCACAACTGAGATTATCTTATACTTCCACCTTGTTCCCCCTCTGGCCTGTTGCCTGTGGAAGAATCTAGTTTGGAAAAAAACCGTGCTTAACCTGACCACACTAATAGAAAATAAGCAACCTCAAGCCGGGCACTTAAGAGACTTATATGCTGAAGTTTTTGTATAAAACGGGAAGCGTTATGGCTGTTCTGACTTACTGGAGTACGCTGTGGAGGAGAGAATGAAGATGAAAAGCAGCACTTTGAAAACAGAGAGTGGTACGTGTTTTAGATACATATGGAGGAAGAAATGTTTCTCAGAGAAAGTATCTTTTCTGACTAAAATTGTGGTTCATAACCTTTCGTCAACTATATCACAGGCTATAAAACACAATGCCCAGGTAAACTGTGAGAATTCTGAAGTTTTTAACAGGGCTACAGTACAATCTTATTTAGTGTGGCTCTAAATTACTACTTGGCAGAAAGCTGCAAATACTTAAAAGTACCAAAGAAGGGTTCCCCGTGATTCAGACTAAAATCACAGCAGTTCTGGTGATAGAATGACATTTTCTTTTTCGCTCAGGTAAAATGCAGGAATAAAGAATAAATACAAGGGAAATTACTTGTGAAAAGTATCCATATCAATCCTAGCTTAATAAAGCATCACTAAGTTTTTGTTTGGTTCTGCTTTTTTAATAGCACACATCCCATGTGTCAAAACAATGGTTGCTGCTTTTCTTGAGGCAAGTTATTGAGAGCGTTCAGTCTCAGACTTCCCAGAAGTGTGCTTTTGGAAGAACGAATCCACACACAGCCAATAAAGGCCTTCGAAGAACAGTGGACAAGACAATACAGACATCCCAGCACAGGGACAAGCTATACTAGGGGAGCTAGGGGACGTGTTCCCCAAATGACTGGCTGGTTAGCAGCAAGATATTTGCTGGTGCTCCTGGAGAGGTAAACATTCTCCCAAGGGGCTAACTTTAAAATTACTGGCCTTGCATTGCTTTGTGAGCGAGTTAAGGAAAGCACACAACATTTCTACTCACTTCATGGGGCTGTGAGCAGTTCAGAGAACTGAAGGGAACAAGCCATTGGTTCTTCTATAACATCCATCACAGGATGCTATTTCACCATCTTTTCCGTAGCCTTTAAATGGCAAAGTCTCTTCCTGAGTTTGACCTTGCAATTGAAGCCAGAGCTTCACAAATTTTCTCAAAGTTCTAGTTACCTGTTTTTCTTTGTGGGGGGCACTTTGAATTCTGATAAGACTACTGCAGGAAATGGAGATTCCATCTCCTAAAAAGATTTCTGCTAAGTAGAGCGTGGTCTGCCAGTCACAAATCCCCTTCTTCCCTTGTATTGTGCCCAGGATCCCTGCTCAGCTAGCTAAGCTGGCAGGGCAGGGAACAACATTCCTTTGAAAGATCTTGGCAATTTGTGCTTGGAATTTGATGCATTAGATCTAAAATTAAATAAAGATTCTACAGTGTTCTTCAGAGAAATATGGTGTGGCTCTATGACAAAACACATTTTTCAATCTCTGACCTCTGGGAACTTCAACTAGCTCCATATTTCAGGCTGACACCGCTCACAGGCTACTGCCTAGTTCCCCAAGCCAGGGCTGATTATCCATGTATTTTCCACCCTCTGATCAGCCTTTAGCTCAAGGAGGTGAGGGGAGTAAATAAAAAGAGAATCACTGATTTAAATGCACTTCCCCTCCCAACTCCCTTGGGGAGAAGCCCTGGTAATTAACTCTAATGAGATTAAAGTAACTTGGAACTCTTCATTTTCCGAACACTATAAAAGTAAATCTGCAATAACCAGAGTATGTGCATTAAGTCAAATTCAGTCCCTTCTGTAACGCAACGCCCCCCTCACTTCCACCCCAGAGCCCAGGCTGAAGTGGAGAGTTGCTGGGCTCTTACCCGTGCTTTGCTCCATCACTTCTTTTTGACACATGTCTTGAACGTTTACCGTGCAATTCACGATGAACTCAGGGGAGGAGCAGTCGTTGTTCAGCTGGAATTCTTCGCATTGGTAGCACTGGATTTGCAGCGCAAAACCTGCGGGACAAACAGTCTAGTCTGGTTCAGATCCAGTGGGCATGGAGCTCATCCGACACCACCGTGGTTTTTGGCCCCAGAGAGCAGAGGCTCCCAGCCTCAGGATGTTTGGGGGCCTGCACTCCTGGAACTCTAGATAGGGTTGGATGTGGCTGCAGATGGAAAGGGGCGGCAGGGGTACCAAACGTCCTTCAGGATAAAGTGGATTTGTGCCCACGGACCACAGACCCCTGCTCTAGACACAAGGAGCTCATCCCAACACCACCAGAGCCTTTTCCAAAGAAGTTGAGAAGGGGACTGGGTGCAAACCCAAGAGCAAAGTAGCTTTAGAGACAAACATCTGCTTCAGTCTATGCCAAAGGATTTGCCTAATTGCTAATTGGTTACAAATTACTTAATTACTATTTTGGCACCATTTATGATTGCGTTCACAGACACCCTTTCAGTTTTATTTTCGAAGTCATAGTTCCTATGCTTTGGTTCTGAGGTTTCCTGCGCAACCACGCGGGACTAAGAGAAGAGGCTCTGGAAGCCAAGGGCCACTGCGCCCTAAGTCCTCGGGCTCAGCGGTCCTTCCTAGGACCACAAACATTGGCGTGGGTACGCAGCTGGGGTCCCAGCTCTGCCGAGCTCAGGCGAAGAAGGAGCCAGACACTAGCACCTTCCGCCCCTTCGGTGTGGTTGCTTGGGTCTGGGCCCTTCATCTAGATCTAACTGCCAGCGCTTTCCCGGCCCCTGCGTGTCCACTTCTAGCCCAGGACGATAGCACCCCGGGCACAGCAACCCGGCGCTCAGCCGCCCGGGGCTCCCGCTCAGCTGTCGGCGCTACTGCTCCCACTGTTGCCAGAGACGCTTGACAACTTGGTGAGGTTTGGGGAACGTCGCAACCTTTCTCACAGAGCTACCCCGAGGCTCAGACCCTCCCTCCTCCCCAGCCCAGCTTCTGCCCGCTGCAGCCGGAGCAGCTGCCGCCAGAGTCGCGCAAATCCGCTGCTCCCCGCTGTCCCCCTGCAGCGTGGGACTTGGAGACTTTCCCAGGCTAGCGCCTCCGGGCACCAGTCTCCGCGGCCAAACTCCCACTGGTCAATCCCTGCGCGACGCTGGCCCCAGATGGGCGTGCTGGGGACGAACGGGCCACGGGGTGGACAGGGTGGCTGCGCCAGGCGGGGCAGCTGGCCTCGAGCCTTCTTACCTGGAAGCAAGAACAATCCGCAAAAAGTTGCCACGAAGCCGAGGACCCACATCCTCCCGGAGCCGCAAGGACGG